CCTAAATTCTGCCAATCATATATCAACAGTCATCTGTCAATCAAATGTTTTCAGTCACTGCATCTTGATTCATATGTCGCAGATAATAATAGCTACGGTTGAAATTAAAATCTTTTATTTTCCCACTGAGTTCCGTCCCAGTGTTCATGGCAGCAGAACAGCTGATATTTCTCTCCAGGATGGAGTCATAATATACGCAACGGTTGAAATCAGAATCATTTCCTTTGCCATTGAGTTCCGTCTCAGTGTTTACTGGGATTTTTTGTTAATTGTTGTTGATTGCAGATGTGTCTAGTAGTTCCCATTGAACTTCCCGCTTGTAAAGCGGGGAGATTGGCGCTAGGCTTACCGCACCGTGACGTCACTGCAGGAAGATGGCAGGACTGAGGTGTTACTGTATTTGGGGGAAAAAAAGGCTTCTCCCAGTAATATAATTATTACCTTAATTTTTTTTTACTGATTACTGCTAAATTCATTAAAAGTAACGCTAAATTAACCGCGTACGTATTAGTTTTGGGTATAGATAATGATCTATATGCTACTTGACACTGACCCAGCTGTGAAGGGTTCTGTTTAAACCCAGACGTTGTTTGGTTCAGGTTCTATAGCGTGGTGTTCTGAGCCTCAGCTGAAGGGGAACCAGGTAGAAAGCGGTTCCCATGTTTAATGGAGAGTTGTGTTTGTATTTGTCCTGTTAAAGCAGCTGTCCCGAGAAGCCAACAGACATTTACGCCGACTGCTGAACGCCGCCATCTTGGTCAGGTCAGCCAGGGAACGGGATGATCTCTGAAGGGCAGGTGCTGGTTCCGTTCTGTGTCTTTCAGTCAGTGTCCGACCCATAGAACCGGGCCGGTCGTGTTTTGATGGACATCAGGGAAGATGAGCAGCTGCTTTGGGTTCATTGGTTTTGTAGGTTGGAGCTCATGGTACCCTGCAACAGCAGACCCAACGGGACCAATAGAGAGAAACCGACAACTCGTAGGCTTACTAAAGCCCCAGTCTTTGGCTGGAGCTGATGAGGAAGTTTAGGATGCTGACCAGTAGAACCACATCAGAGCCGGGCTTTGGATTCAGCTTCAGAACCAACCGTTTCAGGCTTTGAGAAAGGTTCAGAGACCAGCCTGATGTGACCCGTGTCCACTGAGCAGGACTGTGGTTCTGGTTCTGAGTTTCACCGGATTGGCTTTAGCCCAGTTTAGTCCTGGTCTGCAGAAGTAGTGTGGCGTGCTCTTCTAACCTTCTCCTCTCTCAACAGTGACTATTTATTTAAGCTCCTCCTCATCGGTGACTCTGGTGTAGGAAAGTCTTGCCTTCTCCTGCGGTTTGCGGTGAGTTTCCATCCTGTCTGAGAGCGCTACTGCTACCAGGCTATGTGAATCTGCTTATCTATAACTTCTCTCTCTATCCATCTCCATCTATGTCTCAATCCATCCATCTATCTCTCTATCTATATCTCTATCTCTCCATCTCTATCTATCTCTCTCTTTCTGCAGGATGACACGTACACAGAAAGCTACATCAGCACGATCGGTGTGGACTTTAAGATCCGGACCATAGAACTGGACGGGAAGACCATCAAGCTCCAGATTGTAAGTGTCTGGTTTTAATTTGAAGGATGAATAGAACACTGTCCTGTCCAACTTATCCTTCATTTTCCACTTTCCAAATCTGTCAGGTGTATTTCTTGTAGGAGCGCAATTTCTGCATTCTCCCTCTTCAAAAAGTGATAATCTTCTGTCTTTTTACAACATGGCCGATCCGCCTTGGCATTCAAGGAAATAATTTTGAGGTCGCTCATGGTTAAATGATAATGCACCAACCAGATGAAGGTGGTTAGCAATAAAGAAGATGCATATATGTTTTTTGTGATATAGTAGTTGTGAAGAAATAGTAT